ACTCCCTTGTATGCCTTTTTACTGAATAATTATAAAGGATTAGTTGTGGACTTGATGGTTTCTATTTGTCGAACTTCATTAGATTGAGTTATAACTCTTCTTTTTCCTAATGCAAATCCATTTTGCAACGAGTTGTATTCATAAATTGATGTCAGTATTAGGTGCAAGAATCATGATGTGTGATGAAGAAGACAAGAAAAGGTTCAATATGTTAAAACTTCTTGATTTTTTTTTTCCTTTTATGACACGTTTCTTAGGAGGATTGGATATAGTTTGGGAATTTTTACTCCATTGTATCATTAACTTTTGGATTTTAGTTTTAATCTTTAATTAAAGTTTTATGTCGACCTAAGCCGAAAAATTGACTTCGGTTGAGAAATCATTTAAAATTAATAATGCAAGTTTGAGAAAACAAAATATAGATGGATAAAGATTAGATATGATTTCAAATTTAGAAAAAAATTGAAAAAAAAAAAATTTGCCCTAAAGATTTACGAGCCCGGTCAAAAAATACTTTGAAAATAAATATGAAAAATATTAAACATAACAATTTTAAAAGGGAAAATTGCAACGGAGGTTCCAAACCTTTCAATTTGCTGTAGAATACACCTTAATCTTTTATGTTTGCTGTTGTAGTTCAAACCTTCCACTCTAACGGTAGTCAGCATCTAGTATTTCGTTAGTCAACCCTGAAATTAGATATTTGACTCAGAATTGACAAATTAAATGAGGGGTAAAATAGTATTATTTACAATTTCTATAATAAAATAATTAAAATACTAATGTAGTATACTTACAATTTTTAGTCAAAATTTTTGGTCAACTAACGAACTTATAGACATAATCCGTCCACTTGTCCTTGTGCTGCAACGAAACAAAAGATTTGAAATTGTGGATGACATAAATGAAATATTTGAATAAAGTTTGTAATAAAATGAAAGATTTGGGACCCCAACTACAATTTTCTCTTAAAAAAATGTTGAAAGTTAACAAACAAAATTATTCGCGGTATCTAGTTGAGAGTTCCAAATTTCCAATCAATGTCGAGAAAAATGAATTAGATTTTTTTATCTGTTTTTTTTCCCCCCCTTTTAAATAAGATGTTCTTAGACAAACAACTTCCATTTTCATATTCATCATGCTAAGTACGTAAAATTGCATAATATTTTAATTTCTTTTCATTTTCTCTAACCAGACAATTGACTTCGATGGTTTTTATTTTATTTTTTCTTTGTTTCTTGAACAAGATGTATTTTATACACACAAGATATCATTTCTGCTTGGTATCAGAATATTCTACTAGTACAAACTATTTCTAATGCAGTAAAATCAAGGAATTTTTTTTTATCTTGCAGTTGCTGCTAATCCTCACATTTTCTTATCCAAAATTGAATCCAAAGACACCACCAATCCCCAAATTGGAAGACTTATGGGCAATTATTCTTAAAGGCTTTTTGCGAAAGTTAAATACAGTTTCTTTCTGCTTTAATTATATCTTGTTCCTTCTTAATTACAGATTTTCAATCAGAGTGAAACCCTTTTGTGTCTTTGAAATCCAAGTTTCTGAGGTCAACCAAGAAGACATCTGGAGGGATCAGATTGGATCTTCTGTTTTTGCAGTGTGGATCCATCATTGAATCCAAGTGTTATGTGAAAGAGGATTCACGTAGTTCACTCTGACTCCAAATTTATCCGGATCAAAGCTTAGTTTATCGTTGTTGTTGTCTTCGTTTGCATCTTGGGCTCCCATGGAAATCCCAAAACTCTATGATTCATATCTTCTTGTATTTACCTTTTTCTTCATCTTTATTTATTGCTTGGGATATTTCATCATTTTGAAACATTGGAGTAAAAAATATAGGGCTGAAGCTTCAACTTGTTTCATGTCATTAGCCCATGGCACCCCTGCAGTTTTCTTAGCCCTTTTCTCTATACTAAAATCTCATCAGAGTATAAGCTTAAACCAACTTAATTTTGCTTCCCCAAACACTGCCTTACAAAACATGGTACTTGAATTTAGCACTGCTTATTTCTTGATGGACCTCTTCAACTATATTGTCCTAATTCCAATTGATGTTCTTTTCATTGCACACCACCTAGCCACACTATATGTACTTTTGACTTGCAGATATGTTTTAGGACGTGGGGCAGTGGCCATTCTTGGAATTCTTGTTCTTGCTGAGATTACAACATCATGCCAAAACACATGGAGCCTAGCTAGATACCGAAAAGTCGACTCGGAAAAGGCTGCTAAAGTGTATGAATTCTTGTCACCCATTTTCTTTGCATACTATACTATGATTAGAGGGATTCTTGGACCACTGTTCGCGTACAAGATTGGAGTGTTTTTTGCAAGTGGAATGCATGGTGATCTAATTCCTCTGTGGGCATGGATTTCTTGGATGGTTGTGACTGTCTCCATAATTGGAGTTAGCTTATTGTGGATAATGAATCTATGGCTAGCTTTGTATAGAAATAGAATCAAGAAAGAGTTGAAGAAAATCAGTTAACTAGTAGGAACTCAATGGAAATGAAAATATACTGTAAAGTTCTCGTGTAGAAGAGAAATAAATTTGGAAAGTGTAGTTGTTTATAGATTAGTAATGGAATTTTTATCTTTGGTTGGCAATGTTATTTTGTGCTACCCTGAATCCCGTTTCTTGATTAGAGCGTGTCATCCTTGTGCGGGGACATGCTAATCTTCTTTGTTTCATTTCAATTTTATTGGATATAATCAAAGGGATGGAAGAGAGACTTCATTGTTTCTTATATTATCGAGTACTTACATACTCGACCCTGTGAAACGACTCTCGAGTTGTTTTGGATGATGATTAGGATCCTAAAGAAACTCAACTGATGTAATCGTTAGTCTCCATCTAATGACAAGGAAAAATGAGCATTTGCTTCTTGCTATCGGAATATTTGACAAAGCAGCATTATTCATCGTCAGCAAGGAAGCCGTATATCCAACAGAATTAGTTTTATTTTGTTTCGTAAATTGGCTCTTGTTTGAGGGATTTTTCAATAGACACACGGCATATTCCCTACTAAACAAGATTAAAAAAAAAAATGACATACAAGAATGGACAAGATTAAAAAAACGAGACGTGCAAGAAGTTTGACAGTTCAATACAATCAAATCCAATCTATCAAACATGTTGTATGTGATGACATAGTTGGGGAGCTGAAATTGAGAGAGTTGAAACAAATGTGAACTAAGACCACCGGCAATATGTTCATAACAGAATAGAAGTAAGCTGGTCAAGATAATCGGATGCGAGCTGCTGGAAGCTGGAGGACAACAGGATGCGAGCTGGAAGTTGATTACAAGCTGGAAGCTAACTGGAAGCAGCTGGATGTTAGTTTTGTTAGTTGTAGTAGTTACATGTGTCAAAATTGTATAGGCTTGTAACAAGTTAGTTAGTTAAAATTAGTTGAATTAGCTGGTTTACTGTCTATTTATAACCGGATGTAAAGTTCATTTCAGTTTGAATAAAATTTTTCCAGTTTTCTCCCTTTATTTCAACATGGTATCAGAGCAATAATATTCATCATCATCTTCTTCTTCTTTCTTTCTTTCTTCCTTATTGTTCGAAGTTTTGATCTCTATTCCGAGCAAAACTTCATTCACCATGACCATTGAAGGGATGAATCAATCAAGCAATTCTTCATCAATAAGCAATTCCGCCATTGATGATGGATCCAGCACTTATTACCTGCACCATACAGATAGTCCAGATTTAGTTCTTGTCTCACAGCCACTAACTAGAGACAATTACGCCTCATGGAGAAGATCTATGAAAATTGAGTTGTCCGTGAAAAACAAACTGGGGTTTGTCGATGGTTCCATACCTCGACCAGAAGAGAATGGTGATTTGATTAAGTCTTGGATACACAACAATAAAATCGTGATTGTGAAGGTACCAAAAGGTTAGCTGATCATTATTATATGGAGTATGTCATTTCCTTCCTGATGGGATTAAATGATTCCTTCGCTCAAGTCAGGGGCCAATTATTACTGATGGATCTCATTCCTCCAATAAACAAAGTGTTTGCACTTTTCTCTCAAGAGGAGCAACAGAAGAGTGTCAATACCGGAACTTGTGCAACTGATTCTATGGCATTTCATGTCAGAAATGATCCTAAGAACTGTAGCAGGACAATCTTACAACAAATATCAGAGGAAGGAACAACCTATATGCACTTACTGTGGCTATAATGGTCATGCAATTGATAAGTGCTATAAGTTACATGGATATCTTCCTCGGTATAAAGCTAAGCAAAAACTAGGTACCAATCAATCAATTTCGAATAGCCATCATTCTGCTGTGAACCAAGTATCTGAATCCACTCCAGAACACACACATGGTGATGTAGGGAACTTTGTGTATACATTAAATCCTGCACAATATCAGCAGCTGATGAATGTACTGAGTACTCACCTTTCGACTGCAAAAATTGATGCCCAGGGAGATGTTAATGGTGGTGATCATGCATCAGGTACTTGTCTGTCCATCCCTCTTAACCCAATCATTAATCCTCCTAGATATTGGGTAATGGATTTAGGGGCAACATCTCACATTTATTTCACAAAGTCAGCATTCTACACAATGAAATCTATGCCGAATCATGAACGAATTCCTGTATATTTTAATGGAAATGTGAGAATTAGCCCTGATTTGATACTTGAAGATGTTCTTTTTGTACCTCAATTCAAATTCAATTTGCTATCTATCAGTTCATTAACCATGGATTCTCCTATAATCATCAAGTGTCTCACTGACCCATGCATTATTCAGCATCCATCCAGCTTAAGGATGATTGGCAAGGGTAAACGAGTTGCAAACCTTTACATATTGGATGCTGATGTTTCTAATTCTATTCTTAGCAATTGTAATACCTTTTATAACATATGCGATCCTGTGTGTTCAATAATAAATAATGTGACTTCCCACACTTGGCATCACAGACTTGGCCATTTATCTTTTCAGAAAATGGAGTTGTTAAAAGATCAATTACATCTTACATGTTATGGTTACAAGTAGTATAAATCTGATCCTTGTACTGTGTGTCCTTTAGCAAAAAAAGAAGGCTTTTTATTATATCCAATGATCATCTTTCTCATAGTGCTTTTGATCTCATTCATTGTGATACTTGGAAACCATATCATGTCCAAACACATGCAGGACATAGATATTTTCTCACATTGGCGGATGATTGTACAAGGTTTACATGGATATATCTCATGAAATAAAAGTGAGATGCTGAATTCATTATTCCCAAGTTTTTCAAAATGATTGAGACTCAATTCCATAAAGTGATTAAAGTCTTCGGGTCTGGTAATGCACCAGAACTAAAATTTGAGGATTTCTTTGCTTCAAAAGGAGTCATTCACCAATTTTTATGCGTTGAAAGCCCTGAGTAGAATTCAGTTTTGAAATAAAACATCAACATTGAAAGCTCAAGATTGGCTAACCAAGAGGCGGGTGAATTGGTTTTTAAAACTTTTTTGAATAATTAACTAGAATCGTATAAGTTAAAAACACGTTGATAAATTAATAATCGTAAACATGTAACTTGTACAAAGTAAAAGCGTTAAGTAAAAGGGATAGAGAATGCAAACGATATATTTGTGGAGGTTCGATCTAATGCAATGATCTACGTCCAGTACGAGTAAGGCCTTTTTCACTATGTTGATTGACTTATGGTGTAGTCCAACTCTTACAACACTTCCGATGACTTACAACCAAGGAGCACCGATCATTTTACAACGTTGAGCTTTACGGGACCTCAACATGACTTACACTATTGAGTTTTACGGGACCTCAATAAGACCCACACGATGACTTATAACAAGGAGCAACATATAATGTTGATATTTAAGGGACTTCAACACGACCCACAATTCAAATAAATTTTACAAATGAAATATTTTCTTCTTAATGAATGATAAATTCAAAGTTGAGTATAAGAAGAGAAGTAGGCTAACACTTTAATAGATAGCAATGAATGATAGCTCGAGTGTTAGATGAAAAACTTTGATGAATATAATGTTTACAAGTTTGATTTAATCAAAATTTCAATATGAAGAAGTATAATAAGTTTATGTAATGTAAGTGCTAAGAACTTCTTCAAAAATATATTTCTCTTTTAAGATAGATATAAATAAATTAAGTATAAAGAGAAATGAAAAACTTTGATAAAGAGAAATGATTTTCAAAAATAAGATCAATCAAAAGTTTTTCTAAAGAAAATAAAGAGTAAAGATCAAATATTTTATCTCAAAAGAATCTCTCTATAATGCTCTTAGAACTGTAATTTTTTTAATGCAAGAAGATGTGATATTTATAGTAATGCAACAGACAAAAATATGTCCTACCGGACGTCCGCTGCATACCGGACGATCAACTAGCTGTTGCGTCGAAGGTCAAAAAACTGACCGTTACTGCCATACCGGACGTTCGGTTGACCGTTGACTTTTTTTTTTAAGCGATGTGATAAATTCGAGTATCACTTTGAAAAATCAATATAACTTTTGATCAAAAATATTTTATGCAAGTGATATGAAAATAACTTTGTGCACTAAACGATTTTTGAGCTATTGTCATTCATTACTAAAGATCAAAGTGTTATACATTTACATATGATCTCGAAAGCCTGGTTTTTGATCTTGCTTCGAAGTTTCTTTCATTGTTTTGTTTTAATGCTTGACTTTGATCTTGACCTTCTTCATGAACCCGATTTAATAGTCTTGATTTTGATCTTTTAAACTCTCGTCTTGAATAATTTGATTTGAATGCTTAACTTTCACTTTGCTATTCATTTCGAATCCGATTTATGATGNACTTTTCTCTTTGATCTTCATCTCGAGTCCAATTTATGATGTATTAATTTTGGTAATACTTGATTGATTCTAACATTGAACTATCATCACTCAAAATCAATTTTTGTTAAATATAATATTAATCTTGTTTGTTATAATCAAAACATTGATGATGAAATCAACCATAGGTTAACAAACACTTCCTCAATGTAGCTAAAGCCCTGTTCTTCCAGTCACAAGTCCCTATTCAATTATAGGGAGAATGTGTATTATCAACCACCTTTCTTAAAAATAGAACACCTTCACGTATCTTCAATAATAAACCACCTTTTTCACTCCTTTATTATTCTCCAGTGGATTATAAACGCCATAGAGTGTTTCGGTGCCTATGCTTTGCCGCCACTTTATCTTCACAAAGATCAAAAATCCATCCAAGAGCAAAACCTTGTGTATTTGTTGGCTATCCCTCTGGTGTGAAAGGCTACAAGTTATATGATATTCTGTCAAAATCATTTTTTATTTCTAAAGATGTTGTATTCCATGAACATCTTTTTCCTATTCAATCCATTTCACATCATAATGATTTTATTGATCCCTTTCCCGACATTGTTTTTCCCAAACCTGCTTGTGATATTGATTCATCTTATAAACCAATTCAGGATGTTCAGAACACATCTGATGATAATACAAACCTTCCATCACCCAATGCTCACTTTCAACCAGGATCCAGTCAACCAATCTTTCGTAGAAGAACCACTAGAAATCTTAAGCCCCCTTCTTATCTTAGAGATTTTCATTGTAATCTCTTGAAAAACTCATCTGCACTACCCAGCAATACCACTCCTTATCCCTTGCAGAAATATTTTTCTTATAAAGCCTTTTCTTCTGCACATTGTGGTTATCTGTTGAATGTAACATCTAATTTTGAACCACAATACTATCACGAAGCTGTCAAGTATAGTCACCGGAAGGAGGCTATGATATCAAATCATACTTGGTTAGCAGTTAATCTTCCTAGAGGAAAACGCTCAATAGGAGCAAATGAGTTTATAAAATCAAATACAAATTCAGGGAGACATTGATAGATACAAAGCAAGGCTAGTAGCAAAATGGTACACTCAACAGGAAGGATTGGACTTCATAAAAGCATTCTCACCAGTAGCTAAGCTTGTTACTGTCAAAATTCTCCTAGCAATTGCTAATATCAATCAATGGCATATTACTCCACTAGATGTGAATAATGCTTTTCTTAATGGGGACCTTTTTGAGGAAATATATATGCACTTGCCTCTGGGATATGGCAAGCAATCGACTACTGATAAACATGGGAAGAACAAACTGGTTTGTAAGCTGCACAAATCCATTTATGGTCTCAAGCAATCCTCAAGACAATGGTTTGCATAGTTCTCTAGTGCTCTCATTTCACATGGTTATCACCAATCAAAGTCAGATTATTCTCTTTTTACCAAAGGTTCTAATAACAGCTTTGTGGCCTTGTTGGTTTACGTGGACGATATTAATACTGGATCAGATTGTGAAGCCATTAATTCTCTAAAGGCATTCTTACACAGCCAGTTCAAGCTTATAGATCTTGGCCAATTAAAATATTTCCTTGGTTTGGGAATTGCTCGCTCACATAAGGGGATTTTTCTTTCCCAACAACATTATACACTTCAATTGCTTGAAGATACTGGTTTTCTAGCCTGCAAGCCAGCTCTATTACCCATGGATCCCAAGACTCGTTTATGCTCATTTGAAGGGGAACTTCTTGCAGATGTTTCTTCATATAGGAGACTAATTGGTCGCTTGTTATACTAACCATTTCTAGACCTGACATTACCTTTGCGGTTCACAAGTTAAGTCAATTTGTCTCTCAACCTAGGCAACCTCATCTCAATGCTGTCCATCATCTACTACAGTATCTTAAGGCTACTCCAGGGCAAGGTCTTCTATTTTCAGCTCAATCTTCTTTTCAACTTAGAGCCTTTGCTGATGCTGATTGGGCTCATGCCTTGACACAAGGAAATCTATCACTGAATTTTGCATTTTTCTTGGTGACTCCTTAGTATCCTGGAAAGCAAAGAAACATAGTATTGTATCTAAATCTTCTGTTGAAGCCGAATACAGAGCTTTGGCTGCAACAACTAGTGAACTTATCTAGATTCATGAGTTATTGCTTGATCTTCAAATCTCATCTCCTGCTCTAATATAGTATTGTATCTAAATCTTCTGTTGAAGCCGAATACAGAGCTTTGGCTGCAACAACTAGTGAACTTATCTAGATTCATGAGTTATTGCTTGATCTTCAAATCTCATCTCCTGCTCTAATATTTTGTGATAATCAAGCCGCTATACACATTGTCACCAATCTCATATTTCACGAAAGAACAAAACATATAGAAATAGACTGACACTTCATTCGAGATAAGATCACTGATGGTTTTGTGAAATTGCTTCATGTTCGTACACAACATCAACTTGCGAGCTGCTGGAAGTAGGATGCAAGCTGTAAGCTAACTGCGAGCTGCTGGAAGCTGGATGCGAGCTGATGGAAGCTGGAGGATAACAGGATGCAAGCTGGAAACTGATTACAAGCTGGAAGCAAACTGGATATAGCTGGATGTTAACTTTGTTAGTTGTAGTAGTTACACGTGTCAAAATTGTTTAGGCTTGTAACAAGTTAGTTAGTTACTTAAAATTAGTTGAATTAGCTGGTTTACTGTCTATTTATAACCCGATGTAAAGTTCATTTCAGTTTGACTGAAAATTTCCAGTTTTCTCCTTTATTTCAACAGTTCATATAAAGAAGACAAATCATTTGTGGGACGAGTTCTGTGTGTCTAAATCACCTTAGTACTATGTACCAAACATGTGAGATTAGCACACATTAATCCCTAATCTTGCAAGAGAAGGTTCGCCGATAGAATTTGATTAAAAGATATTCATTAGTCCACTAATGGATGCCAAAATCATCAATACAACACAATTAATGAATCAGTGAAAATGTTAATAATAAATTGATTACAGTATACAAAAGGACATCAAATATGTTTGTCGAATTTGACAGTAGTCTTGACAAAGTAAATGTTAGTGTGTACAGTTCTCCATCGCAAGGCCTCAATGGACTGAAACAGAAGTAGAGATTTATCAACCTTAGTAGAAGGTGTGCGCGCACTTTATTTCCAATAATTCTCCATCAGGGAATCGATTCGCAAGCGAGTACTGCACCAATTGTATCATAATCCACATCTTTTTCTTCATCGACAGATACTAGGAGATAACCAACACTATTCAGAAGAGGGACTCGAATACAGTGACAAATTTCACTTTGGTGGATAGACTTGGAAGATTACTCTTCAAACCCCGTTCTTTCATTGTTGCGGAAGGAGGATACCCTTAAAAATTTCTGCCAATTTGATGTTTTGGCTGTTTCTGAGTCTTGAACAGATTATGAATAATTCTGCAGAATACTTGTCTTTCAAGTCTGTAGCATCTCATTTTCTGTCATGCTTCCTTCGCCCACAAAGAAGGAACTTGAGAAACCTGGCAGCACAGTTAGTAGAATCTGACTTCTTGTCACTGCTTGAGCTAGACTTGGCATATGAATCGAAGCAATAAAGTTCAACAGAGCATAACCTACTCTGCTAGCTAAATCACAACTAGCATCCCATTCATCCTAAATTCCAGAACCTGCAGCAAGTGGAATTGAATGTTGCTCGTATGCAAGATCTAGAGCTTGTTTGGCTAAGCTAAAAAGAACAGTAACAGCTATTCTCAAAAGTACGTATTTTAAGCTTAAATAAACATGCTCCAAGTTAAATAAATATTTGGTCAAAGTCGGATACAAGTTACTTATTTTGATAGTAAAGTAATAGTTATTTTCTAAACAAGTTATATTTTTTACTAAACATTAAGAAAAAATTAATTTATCCAAACAATTCAGCATTAGCATAATGGAGATTACCAGCACCCTCCATGTTCAAGAGGATTTCATTTTCTTCATGAAGTCTCGGATCATCTCAGCTTCATCATACAAATTCTTCTGTCTGATTTCATCCAAAAGCAAAGAACACGTCAGATATCTTGGTTTGATGTTTTGATGAATCATATCTTTGAAAAGTTGATAGGCATGCTCGCATTTGTTGGTTCTGCATAGCCCATGGATCAAAAGGGTGTAAGTTGACAAGTCAAGACATAGATGATGCTTCTTCACAATATCATCCAACAATTTTGTTATGTAATCACCCGTCTTCCCAGCTCCAAAATACAGCTTTAACAGTGGATAATACGACTGAACATCAGGTTTACAACACGACGCATTTTCTAAATTCTTGAGATACTGCAGTGCTTTTTGTTCTTGTCTATGATGACAAAACATAGCAATCATTGAATTATAAGTTGATGTATTCGGGCTCGTTTGATTCTTAGGCATTTCCTCCATAAAAACACGAATAGCCTCTTTCATGCGACCAGCCCGGCCTAAAGAATGAATCAAGGCATTGTAAAACAGTGTATCGGGTTTACAACCAACTGATTTCATTCTTTCAGATATTTGCAAAGCTTCCTCAAACTCTCCCGACTTGGTCAAGGAATGCATAATAGTTGTGAAAGTAACCACATTAGGGGGACATCCTTGAGTTTTCATTTCATCAAGAAGCTCATAAACCCTATGGAAGTTGTATTGGTTGCAATAGAATTGAATGATGGTCGAGTAGCTTATGACACATGGGCGACAACCACGTCCTTTCATCTCTTGAATTGTCCAATGTGCCTCCTCGACCCTCTTTATTTTGCACCAGCCATGTATAAAAATGTTGAAAGTGTTTGCATTTGGTGGAATATGTGACTTCAGCTCCAAGAATATCATGCGTGCTTGCTCCACTTTATGTTCTTTGCAAAGGGTGTCAAGTAACAAGTTCATAGATTCTGTATTCTTTCCCAATCCAAATTTTCCCAACTCGTCAAATATCCTTACAGCATCTTTCCAATCCCCCGCACCAGCAAATCTCCTCATTATCTTTGCTATGGTATTAAGTGAGACGATATTGCTCTCACGCATTTCCTCCACTAGTGCATTCACCTTTTCCATTTGCTTCATTTTTCCCAATATGTCCACCAATCTATCATACAAATCTGGTGAGGGTTTATAGTGAGGACATGCTTCAGCCCATCTAAAAACACCCAACGCAGACTTCCAATCGTCTTTGAACCGATGAAGTAACCTATCAACAAAGCCATGAGTGATCTTTATTGTATTACATGCAGAATCATGCACCAGAGACTTGAAAACTTCGTCCTCTGTATTTGCCGCACAAACTTTAGAAATGATAACATCAACATCGGACTTCCTATGAAAGTCTACGCATTCTTCTGCTTGATCGGAAGATCTATTGCTCGTGAAGTGGTCAGACTCGACACATATATGAAAAGGTGAAGTCGAAAAGGAATGAACATATTTTTTGGAGATATGGGAAGTGTCATATGTCTTCGGTAGGAAAAAGAAAAAGTTGTTGATTTTTGCAAGACTTCTGACAGGCAAGACCATAAGTGAAGTGGAAACGCTTGTCCTGCAATTTTTTGTGCAAATGAAATTTAATCACAAAACAATCCACGTTACTTGCATCCCTTAAAGAAATAAACATAAACACCAGTTAACCTCAAAATAAAGTGAAAATTGCTTAATACAAATAAATATAACAAAACTAATTAGTCAGACTCAAATCTCTGAAAGTAAGTATTTTCCAATTATTTCCAATTCGAAACCATAAACAGCAATTTAGCTAAAACTAAACTGAAAATTGCAGTTTATTAATTGCCCCAACTGGATTTTGGTACGGTGTATTTCATCAATTACAGTGGAGGGGAACCACAACAAAAATTCAAGAGAGGTATTGTCATGAAAAACAATTGATAATAGTAACGCATTAGATCCAGGTTGATTCGAAATGAAATCGTTCACAACAATCAAATCAAATTACCTTCCAAGTTTGGTGCTTGTAGAAATCACTGCAACGGAACACGTCTCACAGTGAATTGTTCCCGATTTTGAGTGCAGGGAAAAACCTATAAAATGGGCTTGCATAGATTGATCTAATGGGCCGACCAAGCATAAAGTATGTCTATGGACCTCGAGCAGTGGCGGACCCAGCATCAAAGTTCAGCCCTCAACAATCAGCGATGATAGAAGCGATGTCGTTTATTAATATTTAATTAAATAATGTTAAAAATTATTCAATATATATATACACACACTAAAACGTAAAAATTATATATATGATATATCCAAATTTCCAATTCCCCTAATTTCAAACCCTAAATCCAATTCCAATTTCAATTCTAAAACCCTAAATTCCCAAATCACAATACACAATTCAAAAACAGAAATACAAAATGCAGTCAATGCACCCAAATAGAAAATATAGAATGCATAAGTCACAGACTCACAACAGCACAAGCACAAGCACTAGCCACTAACAAGTAGCAAATAAGAAATAGGCAAATAGCAAGGCAAGATATTTGAGCTAATAAGTAATACCTACAGGCTACAGGCAGGCAGAAGTTAGAATGCATACAGGCAGACCAGAGAGGCTGAGACAGCAGATGAAAGACTAAACTCCAACAGACCAGCCTCCAGCTATTGGTTATTGCCCCCACAGTCCACCGATCACTGTCCTCCACGCTGACTCCGTCCACTTATCTCGGTGGTGTCAAAGACTCACAGCCAGGCAGGGGCCCCCTCACACCGCAGTTTCGCCCTCGTCACAGACTCACAGTCTTCTGTCTCCCTCTGCCGGACCAAAATGAATTTGATTTGGTTTTGTAATTGGAAAATTACATAAATCCAGGTCTTTTAAGACTACAATTCAAAAATCAAGGATAAAGTTTCCCAATTCAAAATCAGGTATCAAAAATATTATAATACAAATTTTATCACCCTAATTAATTTCCCATACCTTCTCTCTCTATCCCTCTTCCCATCTAGTTTCTCTCATTCCATCCCTCATTTAATCTCCTCTCACGAAAACACAACCACCATTCCCGTCGTTGTGAAGGCGTCACCACCACTACTGTGGTGCTCTGTTTCTCTCATGTGAAGACGCCGCAGCAGCTGCAAGTCCAAATTATCGCTGAGGGTCTCCGATCTGAACCGTGATGCTTAGTTCGTGACGAACACCACCTCGTGGTGGTGATGGTGGCCAAGTCGCTTATGAGATTTGTCAGCACAGGGCACCGTTGCGCGAAGCAGATCTGCAAGACACACCATGGTTTTTGTTACTATCGTGGGATGTTGACTGTTGTTGGCTGTTGTTAACTGGTTATGGTGGTGTTTTGTAGGGGCGGATCTATGTGTTGTGGTGCAGGTGGTTGTTTTCTGATTTATGTGTGGGTAGTTTTCTATGGGTAGTGGTTGGTGGACGGTGATGACGATGGTTGTGTAGGTGGTGGTGGAGAAATGGCAACTGCAACCTGAGGTGGTGGTGGTGGCGACGGGTTTCGAATTTTTTTGGTGGGGGTTGTTGTGTGGTGGAGATGGTTGAGATTTTTTTTGTGGGGGTGGTTGTTCGGTGTTGTAGGTGGTGCGGGTGGTGCGGGTTGGGATAGGAGTGGTGGGTTAACAATGGTACAGGTGGATGTGGCGAGTGAGGATGGTCGTAGGTGGCTGTAGTAGCAGCGGCGGTGGTGGTAATATTGGTTACGATGGTACGATGGTACGTGACCTACTATTTGGTGGTATGTGACCTACTATTTGGTGGTATATGACCAAGTATTTAGCTGTGACCTAAAAATTTGACAATATGTGACTGGAAAATAATCTGTGACCAACAAATTTGAAAATACGTGGCCAATGAATTTAACCATTTTTTTATATGTGACCTAAAAATTATATAATCTGTGACCAATTAATTTGAAAATCTGTGACCTATAAATTTTGATATGTGAACAACTAATTTTGAAATCTGTGACCAACGAATTAAGTGTAACCTATAAAAATTTTGAACTGTGACTGTAAATTGTAAATTTGTGATCGGAATGATTTCCAGAATAATCGTCGGAATGGTCGTCGGAATCGGAGTAGTTGCCGAAATGGTCGCGCGAAGAAGAGTGGTCGCCGAAATAGTCCCCGGAGCGGTAGAGGTGGTGTATGTGGGGTGTGTTTATTATATTATATTAGAATTTAAAAAAAAAAAAAAAAATCCCGAATTTTGAAGTTTCAAACTTTAAACCTTATTTTTGANTATAAACATGATTTTTGAATTGGTATAAACTAAATACCTTATTTATGAATTTTTCCCTTTTGTAATTGTTGTGGTTAATGGACCTAATGGTAATGGACTTTCATAATTCAACCATGGCTCATTAATTGGGCCTTATTTTTTTAAATAAAGCCCAAACAATAAAACAAATGAAACATTAAGAAATGGGGAAAAAATTTACAGCGTCTTCTACTTTTCTTCATCTTTCTTCACCCGGCAGACGACAAGACTGTTGAAGGTTTCGACGGACCCAGCACGGGCGGCCGCGGGGGTGGACAGGTACTGGGTCCGCCACTGACCTCAAGCAAGGAAGGAAGTCGGTCGTTAATGAACTTTTGAGGATGGAAAAACACACTGACCTTATGATTGTATATGGTCCGATTCGATTCGATTTTATTAAGGAACCGAATCGAATTCGAATTATTGAGTATTTAGTAAGTGAAAAGGTTTGGGTCCAAATTTTAATTTTTTAGATTTAGGCCATGTTCGGAAAGGATTATTTCTACCAATTTAGTGCTTTTTGGACCGTTTTATTCAAATATGTGGGGTCCACACAGAAATAAATTGGTCAAATTTAGTGGCTGAATCACTATTCCAACGGTTGAAATTCTGATTTTGAGTGCTCCCAGACATGGTTTTAAAATGACGCTACATTAATTCAACTGACATGTTAAATCCTAACTCTTACAAAATAACATAATTTAATTCCCCGATATCTTTTACGTCCTTCTTTTTGAGTTTTTCATAGATTTGACTGTTAAAATCACATTAAGAGAAAGAAAGCGGGCTCACGATAATAGAATGACAGAAGCGATATTACGGTAGAATAAGATATTTGAGTAAAATTTAGGTCAGTTTGATTAAATTGAGCTTGGTTGGAAATTAGAATTAGTAAAATCATACTTTAGGTTTGTACTGAATTAATTAATCAACAAATTTATTTAGAAAAAAATAAAATATTTTAGCTCATTTAAGATAAAACAAATTAAAAAAAATATATAGGGAGATTCAATTCTTATTCAGTTCGAAATAGTAAAATCATATTTTAGGTTTGGACTAAATTAATTAATTAACAAATTTATTTAGGAAAAATAAAATAATTTAGCTTATTTAAAATAAAAAAAATAGGAAGATTCGATTTTTATTCGATTTTTCGGTTATTAGTCTAGAATCGAGAATCAAATCAAACTTGTCGGTTCTCGATTCATATATCCGTTCGGGTATTCAATTTAAGAAGAACCATTCAGTTAAGTTCAATTTGGTTTGGATCCAGTTCGATAGTTTTGTTCAATCCTATTGGCATCATCTAGTCTTGAATTTTATTTTTGTGCTTTAAAATATAAATTATATTTAAAAGTAATACAAATTATAAAACACACAAAAAAAAAAATGCAGACTGGAGGAGAGAGTTCTAGAAATGTGAGATATGTACAAGAAAAGAACATAGAAAATGTTCATTGCACAGTTTGCACTTGATAAAAAGAGGCAATCCTTTCTTTATGTTCATTTCTCTGCCTCTCATTTCACGCTAAACCGATTCCACCTACTGTTCACAATTGGGTTTCTGCGTATGAACTACTAAAATATATACAATAGAAAACATCAAGACTCTTCTACCGTCATTTGCTCTCGTGTCCGACTCCGTTTCAGCTGTCTCTCTCTCTATCGATTTTGCTGTACGTTTTCTTCATATTTTCCCCTGATTTTTCCATATTTACCTCGATCTAGCCGAGAAAGTTAGGTTTTTGTTAGATCTCTGCTTGTTTGTTAGTTTTGTGAGTTTTCTTTTCCATATTTACCTCGATCTAGCCGAGAAAGTTAAGTTTTTGTTAGATCTCTGCTTGTTGGTTAGTTTTGTGAGTTTTCTTGAAGGTACTTCTACATTTTTTGTGTCTGGTGTGTGAAATTTTAGTTAGGTTCTCTTCATCTAAATCACAAGCTTCAATGTTTGCTTGATGTGTATTATATTGCTTGATTTTTGCTTCTCTAGGATTTCTTATACTTTTGCTAGCGTTTTCCTGCTAATAATAATATTTTTTTTGTTTTGTTTTGTTTGGTTTTTTGCATTTTTTCTGTCTGGAGTGTGAAAATTTAGTTGGGTTCTTTTCATCTACTTCAAAAGCTTCAATTTTTGCTTGATGTGTATTATTTTGCTCGATTTTTGCTTTTCTGGGATTTCTTATACTTTTGTTGGCGTCTTCCTGCTAATGATTTTTTTCCCCCCCAAAATAGCTAGGTATCCACGTCTCAACTACAACCAATCCACCACCAAAAACCCATAAAAGTTTACTTGCTAGCTACCCAAACATACCTACATCTGGCCCTCCAATTTTGGCTCACTAATATTCAATCAAGCTTTTTATCCGTTAATTTAAGGGTTCCTTTCAAAAAATGTGTTGAAATTCTTCGAACTTTTTGTGGGTTTGTTTTAAAAGGTGCTAATTTTGTAGATGAAAAGACAAAAAAATTATTATTTTCAATTTTATAGTGATTTCTTCATGACGTTTTTGTGGGTACGTAAGTAAAGTTCTGAGATGATGCTGAGAATAGTGTTATCTGAGAATAGTGTTATTTAGGAAGCAAAAGATAAGAGAGGAGTCTAACAGATATGCAATAAAAGAAGTTATATGTTAGCATAGTTTATCTTTTTTGTTCATTATCTTCAATTTATGTTCTCTTTTTAGAAATTTGGATCATTCTGAGAGTTGATAGCTTTCTGGGTTTTGAGTGTTATAGAAGAATGGTTTTGATTGTTATAGAAGAATCGATAGAAATAATACTAAAATAATTTGCAAATCAGGGAAGAAGGATGCCTTTTCTTTGCTTT